GTGATGCAAGTTTGCAATATCACTTTATGAGGTGCATATGAGCCTTCCACTGTGGATGGGGATGGGAGAAACAGGTTCAGCAGCTTTGAAGCTTGCAGACAGTTGAAGGAAGATAGCCATATGAAAAAGAAATCATATGAAAGAGCATATAATGTGGGAAAAGGCAACTGGTAACGTTGGAGCTAAAGACTGGAAATTAGCTTTCCAGAAAAAACAGTGAAGAGAATCAAACAGAAATTGAATGCAAACCTCAGGGTTTTTTTTATATTTAAAACCACTTTTTCACTAGTTCCAAGCTTTTTAACCCAGCACTTATCAAAGGAAGAGCCTTTTTGCATCTTCACTTTTACTATTCAAGTTGAGCACTATATCTTGACCACAAACTACTAGTGTCATGATGATTTACCTTAGTGCCAGTAGTTATGGCCTTTGCATCTACTTCCAGCTTACTGTGTGGTCAGTTTAGCCTTCTGATATTCACTGGGGAAAAGCCCAGTGAATAGAAGTTTCAGCAGTGGTGAATCCAAAAATAAAAAAAAAAAAAAAAGAAAAGAGAGAGACTTTAAAAAGGGAGGGAGATTATCTGCATTTAATTTCTGTGCATGAGCTTTCAGAATTCACATTATGTAGTCTATCCTCATGATCAGAGGGCAAAGAATGCAGATTTTATGTTCAACCCAACCAAAACACCAGTGGCTGTTCTCTCTCAGCTTCTTTCCAAAGTCTGTAACAGCATTGCCAATTATTTGTAGATGCCCATAACTGTTTCATCACTTGGTAACTACAAAGAGCAGAGCATAGTGTCTTCTGGGAGCACTAGTGAGGCACTGCAAACAGCACATAATCCTTTTTTTGTGACAACTAGCACTGAAGTCCTGAGAGGAGATGAACAACCGGTGAGTAACCTTCCCACAGCTAGCAACTGCAATGTGAAAGTGGTCCAGGCCTCTTAATGCCTGATTTTGCAGGTGACTAAGAAAACAGGAGAAGTCTGGATCCCTTTCCCCACCCACGACATGGGGAGGCCCAGTTCTAGTTCCATCTCCATCTGAAGAACCATTCTGACGTCTTGAGGGATGGGGAAAGGGAACTCCAGGGGTTTTTCAGGCCCCGAGCCTGGAGGGGAGAGGTGCCCTCCCCTCCTCCCAGCACCCATGTGGTTCCATGGCAGGCACAGAGACAGCACACCGGGTGTGGAGAGGAGGCAAGAGAGAGTTTATTGTTGGGGATGTTATATTTATAGGGTTTTGGAGGATTCACAAAGTAACCAATTAGAAGTCTCAAGGGGCTTACAGGAACACCCAATCACAGGAAGGGGTTAACAAGGTCCAATGAAACACCTTAGGACATCTTCCCAGGACATTCCTGAGATAACACTACCGTGGGGGGTCTTGGGAAGAAGAAACACGTGTTTGCAAAGAGACTACCAAAAGCCATTTTAAGGCATGTTTAAACAACAGTTTTCCCATATAATGCAGGTTTAGTGCCACAGTTAAGTCCTTCCCAAAAGCTGGTTGGATGGTTGGAGATCTGGTGAGTGGTGTTGCCCCAGCTGCTTTCTGCTGGCTCCCTGTAGCAAGGGCAGTGGTAACAGCTGTGCCTGAGGCTGGGAAGTGGGATCAGCTCACTAGGGAGCCTGTGTTGCACAGGCATGCAGCTGGTTGGCCCTGCAGCCAACAAAGCTGTGAAAATGTTGGACTTTCGAGCCTATCCTTAGGGAGTGAGCATATTGATTGCTGTAGCATGCAAATCTGTAATTGCACTCTAGTGGCCTATGGACAGTAGTAGAGCCAGGAGTGTGCAGATGTGATTACAAACATTGTCTACATGGGTAGTTGCATTTACTTGTGAACTCTACCATGCTTTTGTATTGAATCCCTTTTTTAAGGTCACCAGAGCATATTAAGCTCAAGCTCTGTCCTGCTGGAGTGTGAGGGCAGTGCTCTGGCTTCCTTGTGTTCCTTGTGGATCCTGTGTACCATCAGGACAGAAAAAAAGAGCCAAGCACTGAACTGGTTTATTCCTATTAATACTGATCCAAAAGTCATAAAACCCCCAAGCTATCCACCAGTGTTCCTTCATGCAGTCTTATAAATGATCGGAAACTCCGAATTTGCTTCCAGAGGCTTTTCAGGGCTCTATTGAACTTTGCAGTCCATCTTTATCTAGACTTTTACTTTTCACTACAGCCTTGCTTTATCCTTCCCTATCTTTACCTTTACCATCAACTGTTTTCACTCTACCTATATTTTGAAAAAGTGAATCTTACCTGCTTTCAAAATCTTCTTCACATAGACAGACTCCTGATGAGAAGGAATCATGAAAAGCCACATAGAAGACCAAGTAAAGCAGAGAGTTTGCTTGCTGAGGGTGTCACGTGCTGCAGAATTTGTGCACTGGCTATGATTTTGAAAGATGCAATATATACAATAAACAAAGAACAAGCAATAGGAGGGAATCATGTAGTTTTTGTAGACTTAGTCAAAAATAGTCTGCAGAATTAATTACTTCAAATGGTTAGGCAAGCTGAAACAATTTAACATCTGTGGATTTTTTTTTTTTGCCTGCGTCTTAGCACAGATAGCAGTGATTGGCCGGGCATACTGTGGCCATGTGCATGTCAACTAAATGCAGAACAGTTGTTAGCTCTAGATATTTGCTGAGGATAGGCTTTCTGAGCCATGGAAAAGGATGCTGACAGAAATATAGTATGCGTGAGAGAGAGATGTGTGTTCAAAGGATAGGACATCATACCCACGTGGGATTTGCCATAGACTCGTTTTTTAACCTGGCAACTTGAGTCACTGGTCCTTTGTTCCTTTTGGTAAAGAGCTTTGGGATCTCTGCTATCTACTCATAAAGTGCATTATTATGAAAGAGTTCCCTTGATTGCCCTTTCCACAGGCAGAATTTGGCCTTTTTCCAAAGGCATATTGTATTTGCATTGATCGCACTGCTGACTATATGACCTTGTCATTAGGAAAGCATGAAACATAAAATATGAGTTACTTGGACTCCTTCTAGTATTATTCATTGTTTTAATTTTTGATGTCTGAAAGAGATTGCAGAGCCAGCAGGAGGTCTGTTTGAGACCAGCTGACACCATGGAATTTGTGGTACTTTAATTATCCAAATGATCTAAACAAAAGAACTTAAACGCTGAGAAGTGTATGATGGATTGTTAGCTGTAAACTGCAAAAATTAATTTGGCAGCTGGAATGGTTACATGAAACTCTGGAGGCTGCTCCTCCAACACCCTGACTAGGGCATCAGGTTGGATATGCAGGATGCAAAAAAAGCCAGAAGCATTCACAGAAGATTGTTTCTGTACTCAGAAGCACCCTTTTTTCTCTGTTATTCTTCTGTAATGAACTACTCAGTCATTACAGTAGGCATTCTCATTGTTCTTCAGGTCAGTTCACAGTCCCTGCATCCCTCTTTCCCTTATCCTCTTGAGTGTTTACAGTTTTGTATTCACTTAACATGCACACTGATGCATCAAGCCCAGCCAGTCTGCACATTCAAAAAGTACAGAGAACCGTTTCTGTTTCTGCCATTGCACATTAATTTGTGGCTGTGAGTTCTGGTTTGCCCTGGATGCTAAAAGAATATCCATGTTAAAAAAAAAAAAAAAAGAAAAAGAATAAGTAAAAAACCCCAAACAAATAAAACTCAATTTCTTGGTTATATTTGTGGTAGAAAGGTCTGTCAAGGGCAGTTCAGGGAGCGCAAGTACAGTGAAGTTGAAGGAGTCCTGAAGCTGCGGCTTGCTAGAGAGTATCCTGGGAAGAATAACCCTGTGCTTGCCCTTTGCTAAGCATCCCTTACTGGCAGTGAGAGACTGGCCTTTTCTGGCACCCTGTCTGGCTACCCTCACCTTCTTAGGGCTTTGTCCTGATGGTGGAAGGAAGGATTGGGTCACAAGGACACTTTTCCCCCTTTCACCTAACTAACAGCCTGCTCTTAGGAGCCAGGTCAGGGAGCGTTAGGAAACACTTTTCATCAGGAACGATAAGCCCAAATGTAGCTATGCAGTTTGCAGTTTCTAGTAAAGTGCTCCTCTTTTCTTCCTTGAAACTGTCTTTAAGGAAAGTGACATAGAGCTAACTACTTGAGTGTCTGCAGAGATTTTCTTCACATTCAGAACATGCAAAGCATCCTCCCAGAAATCACAGAAAACTGCCATAATGGAGCACTTGCAACAGTACTCTGTAATAGGAGTTAATCTCAGTACTTATTTGTGTATTTTTAGCATGTAAAAATATGTTTGTCAAAGTTTGCAGTGCTGCCAGTACATGTGACTTTTAATTCATCTCACTATATCAAGTATTTTTGTTAGCCAGAATTGCTACAGTTGACTTCTTAGGAGAATCTCTATCTTCTGAAAATAGAAACTAATGGGTGGTCATGAAAACTGAACCAGAGGAGATGGGGAAGAAGAATCTGAAGCTGACTTGGCAAAGATAGTAAGTATTATGAGCAAGGAAGACAGAGCTTACAATAAGTCAGGAGGCAGTGTTCCCATTGTTTAGGAGAGGCAACTAAGAAACTGGATGGGATGACTAACAAAATTGTACAAGGTGACCTAGATGGGAAACTAGGCATTAGCCAGAACATGGGTGAAGCTGACAACGGGAACACAGAGAGAAATCTGGGCAAGGAGAGGGAGAGGAGGAAGTGTATGAACAAATTTGGAAAGAAGGGACAGAGAGGAAATAAATGGGTGGAGGATCTTTTTCTGTAAGTAATCACTTTCCCCCAAGAAAGCCAAAATTTCTGTACCCTCCCATTGCTCCCCATCACAAGGGTGAGGCATTGTTATCACAGTCAGTTATTTCCCTGGTCCAAGTAACAGAAGTCTGTGTACTTGGGGCTTAAGTGTCACAGATGATGTGTAACAGCTTGATGCTACATGAAACTTCTACTTTTATAATCTGAATAACTATGTACTGCACTCCCTCTGTTCTCACCAACAGGATTTCAAAGTCAAGCCTTCAATATCTGGAAACAGCAGGGTTAAGAATGCCTGTATGTGTGTGTTAAAGGACCACTGTTAATTTTATGGTTGCATAGCACTCCACAGGACCCTTGCCGCACCCAGCGCACACGATGGATGACACTCACTTAATGAGCAGCTGCTCAGTGCTTTTTCCCTTCATTGTTTGGAGTGTGTCTCTGTGCCTTATGGACTGCATACTATCTGCATTGAACACAATTACTTTCCTCGTGAGTTTTTCTGTGCTGCTTATTGCTATAGTAACTGTGTGCCTCACAAATACTAACTCATCTGTTTCCTTCTTCCCCTTGGAGATGGCAAGGCACTACCTGTGTTTCCTGCATGCAAACTTGTATTTCATGAACGTAGAGCTGAGGAATGGAGAGCAGAAGCTGAAGAGGAGTCACTTGAGTGTCCGTATTAGAGTGGAACTGCATGTTCCCCAGCACTTGGTGACTCACAGCACTTTTCATGCTCTAGCTCCAGCTTGCTTTGCCTTTAGTTCTTCAATTCCTCCTGTAATCTCAAAGCCTCATCAGGTACCTGGAAAATAATAAACATGTAACTACTGACCATGTCTGAAAAGTCTGAATGATGTAACTAATGTCACATACAAAATCTGTGTCTTGGACTGAACCAGTTTCTATTTGTGCAGCTTGATGTTCATCCACCTCTAACCATGACACCAGCCAGTCCCTCATCTTGCACCATATGTTCTAGGTGAATTGCCATGGATTACAGAGGTAAGAGAAGCATCAGCTAATAAAGCAGTACAGTGAACTGAAAAAAAGTATTGCCAAATAAATGTTGCAAACAAGCGAGTTAGGTATGCATTAGCAGTAGGATTACTCTGCCTACTTGCACATTTGTCCTTTTTCTCTTCTCCGTTATGTGATTTAATTCTTTCTGTATTACACGCCACCAGGTTGAGAATGTCATTTTCTGTATTTGTAAAGCACCCTGCATATGCTCAAAATTATTTGAACAGCCTGCGGATAGGTAAATAGCACCATTTTAGATGGACGAAATGTTAAAGTATGGGGCCTAAATTAAAAAAAAAAAGGGGTTACAATGATTGCATCTTTTGTATTTGTACAAGAGGCCATCTGTGAGCTCACAACCCTGCTCCCATTGCAGGCTGAACACACAGATGAACACAGGAATGGGGTTTTTGGACACTGATGTGCAGAAGGTGTAAATAATTTGGTGCATACCTATTTAGAAAGGTATAGATATATGTGAGCCACTCAAAGTAACATAGAAAGTCAATCAATCTGTCATATAATCAGTATAACAAAGGAAAAATATGTTTTCCTAGAATTGCAAGCAAATAAGTCATGTGAAAGATAACACTTTAAATTTTGCTGAGAGTCTGTAAGTTCCAATAAGCACCAGTCTCTCTCACTTAATTAGTCTCCTCAGGGAGCTACATTGCAGGTGTTTTTCATTATTTTCGGCAGAAGTTTAGCAATTTCTCTCTGCATTGTCTTTTCTCAGGACAAATCTTTGCTTTCCAGCTGGGGATAGTTTTGTTTCTAAATAATTTCTCTCTTTATCCCTCAGAGATCATTGGAGTGAAAAGCGCTTTCTCCACCCTGATCATCCTCATGTACCTTCCTGGAGAAGGAAAAACTGGGGAAACGGTGCCACTGCCTGAAATCTCACCTGTTTGGATGCTTACCACAAGGACAAATCAATGAAGGAAGAGGATATTTTTTCATCATGAGTAATAGCACACTCCTGGCCAGCTGCAAGGGAGAAATAAGAGTTTCTCATTAGAAGGCTAGACCAACCCCGTGCAAGATTATATTAAGTTGTTTTCAAGGGCTTATTTTAGCAAGTCACACAATCATATGCCCAGCTGCCCCCCACTCACACAGCTCTGGGTGGGTCAGTTTACTTCACATGCCAAAATGGGAGTGACCTCTTGGCTACTGAAAATATTTTGAAATGTAATTATGTGGAACAGTCAGTCACAGGCTTTCTGTGGGGTGGTTCTTCAGTTCAGGGAGTGTTCAAAGTCAAAGGCTGGCTCTGGTTTCTGCAATTACATCCTCTAGGGTGATTACATTGCCTTTAGGGTGGATCTCAGACCCACGTTTCGTGCATCCATTCCTTTCCTCTCAAGATGTTAGGGAGTTGAAAACTTACAGCAAGATTTGTTGTAAGAAAGAGTTAAAGAAATTAATGCTTTCCTTTGACTTAGCTGGAAATTGAGTGCCTCTGAAAGTGCTACTCCATGCCCTGTGTTTCAAAGCATGAGGAGTTAGTGACCTCTAGATACTATGGGACTTGAAACTGCAAAAATTTCATGATAAATTCAAAATACAAACATAAGCCCAGCTCTGTAGCTTGGTAGATTCTCTGAGATCCTTCCCAGTGCAAGTGAATCTCGAATGGGGGCATGAAGGACTATGAAAGTGGGTGAGTGTGATACAGATAAAATAACTGTAGTCTTACAGTTAACAGAATAAATTTTCCTTCCTGGCAAGGAGAATGGCAGAAGGTCTGTTCAATGAACTCCCCTGGGATCTGTAGCAGGAGCTAGCTTTGAGTGAAGTTTAGCAGCTTTATCTGCAGACACTCTTAGGTATTTTAACCCACTGACACTCTATAAGGAGAGATTTGTTATGTTGTTAGCTGCCTAACTTGGGCCTCAGAGCAGGGCTTTGCATTTACAATTGCTTCCTAGCCAGAAAACTCTTGTAACCTATTGACTGATTAGGTTGTTTCAATTTACAGATATATTAAGCCCTGATTTTTTAAATCTGGTATTGAAATGCTGCCACTGAAACGTCCTTGCCTCCACCTCCAAGTTTGCTCCTGCCAACGTTAGGTGTGATATAAATCAGTGGATCTCTGACTAGCTGTCTCTTAGCAGTTGCTTTAATAGCTGCGTGCTGTATGGCGTGTGGGAGCGGGCAAGAGAAGACGTGTGCCTGGGATGTGAGCAGAAATCAAGTGGGCTGACGTGCCCTTTTCTCTTTGTTCCCCAAGGTGGGCAGGTGCATGGCTCACTCCTCTTGGCTGCGGGTGCCTGTCACCTCATCGTCCGCCCGGAGGGGCCAGCGGAACCCCAACCCCACTGGGCACCTGTGTCCCCTTCCCAGGCAGGGTCATGCAGGCAGTCACCACGGTCAGGTGTCTTCAGGGCGCTGCAGGTCTGGGAACGTGGATGGAGCCCAGCAGAGCTATCCTGTAAAAGAGCCTCCTTGTTTACTGCATACTGCTATATGCTGTAGCTCTCCTGTAGTGCTGTGCTGCCCGAGAGCTGTCAAGGCCAGAAGAAAATGTTGCAAGAAGTAGCTCAAATCCATTTCTTTGAAATCGTTATGTGCATCCCTGTTGCAATGGAAAGAAATGGTGACTACAACTTACTATGTCCCCTTCTTTGCCTGCCCGTGGAGACACTTTGCAGCCCCTACCCTAAAGAGAAAAGTACAAATCTAAAGATACAAATTTAAGCCATAAAGTACTTGAGAACTTCTTTGTACAGTGTGTGCACGGGCGCCATGCAGAAGTAAGGAAGTGGAGATGCCCTGAGGAGCAGCTTGCATGAGCTTTTTGTTGGGTACTGCCATTTGCAGGAGCTCATCCCAGCTGTGACCTGGCCCAGTAATCTCTTCTCTTTCCCTTAGGAAGTCAGAGGATCCTGATGAAATTGGGAATAAAACTCTAATTTTAATTCCTTAGCTTTTCTGGTCTTAATCTGAGCCTTAGTTTTGTCACTTACATTGTTGTCCAGACTCTTATGATACATCTGATGGTAAAACACTTTCAGGATATAATAACCCTCTTAAAAAACATGTAGACAACGTTCAGGAAATTTCTGTATGGTATTTTCTAGGCCATCTTATGGTGTTAGTAAATACAGTGAGGAAATAAACACTGGATCCCTCTTTGGCATTAACTGTGCATTATATGAGTAATGTAAAGAATGGATATAATAGAGGGAGTGTATGTATGTTTACATGTGTATATATAAGATGTACACATGTTAAATATTAAGTTAATTAGTAACAAAGCAGCAACATTTACTTCATTTTTCAAGATCTGTTTTATGGGATTTATTTAGGACTGTAGCAGCAACCAGTCTACAGCAGCTAGCTTCCAGTCATTTCCAAATGAGTCATTTCCACCTACGCTAACACATGTCAGAATGGTTCCTACTGTGTGTCTACCTATTGGAAATAAACAGAAAATAACTATGTTAATCTGAACTTCTACAGCTTCTTTTACCTCAGGGTCTTAAAGCACTGTAGAAATGGAGACCTCCCAGCCCTGCTATGGTGGTAAGGTGTATTACACTCATTGTTTAGATGGGGAAACTGAGGCAAAAAAGAAAGCTTATTTGCGTAATGTCACAGAGCAACTCTGCAAACAGAGTAAAGGCAAACACCGCCTGCTCCCATAGCTTTGCTGCCTATCCACTGGACAATACTGTGGTTAAATCCCAGAAATCTATTTTTTTTGCTTTATTTCCAGCTGGAAGTGATGGAGGTTTTTTCCCTTCAGTTGCTTAGCTACCCCCTGACCTTTGGATAGTCTTTCTCATTGGCTGGGTGAATGCATTTCCCTCCAGCTGCCTAGACATGCACGTGTCTCAGACCTCCCTCTCTGGCAGGATCTCATCAGCTGCCCTGTCTCAACCATGTGTTTCTCTTCCTATCTTGCTGAAAGAAATGTTATTATTTTGCCTCTAGTGCATATCAAAACAGTGCTAGTAAGAAAGCAGAACTGATGTCTATTTTATAGATTCATTGTATTATTTAACAACAGGCTGTTAATTAATGCGAACCCACTAATTATGGTGATTCTGTTTCTCTGGAATTTTCCACAACCTGCACACCAGTGGGTGTGGTGGATTGACCCTGGCTGGACATCAGGTGCCCACCAAAGGCACTCTTCTCCCCCTCCTCAGCTGGGCAGGGGAGAGAGAATATAACAAAAGGCTCATGGGTTGAGATGAGGACATGGAGAGATCACTTAGCAGTTACTGTCATGGGCAAAACAGACTCAAATTTGGGAAATAAATTGAATTTATTACCAGTTAAATCAGAGTAGGATAATAACCCAAATCTTAAAAACATCGTCTCCCCAACATTCTCTTCTTCCTGGGCTTAACTTTGCTTCCAAATTCCCTCCCTCCTTCCTCCAGCAGTGCAGGGGGGTGGGGAATGGAGGCTGCAGTCGGTCCATCACATGTTGCCTCTGCTGCTCCATCCTCCTCAGGGGAAAGACTCCTTACACTCTTCCCCTGCTCCAGTGTGGGGGCCCTCTCATAGGAGACAGTCCTCAACAAACTTCTGCAACATGAGTCCTTTCCACAGGCTGCAGTTCTTCACAGTCTGCTCCAGTGTGGGTCCTCTCTGGGGTCACAAGTCCTACCAGCAAACCTGCTCCAGCATGGGCTCCTCCCACAACGGGTCCACCGGTTCTGCCAGGAGCCTGCTCCAGTGCAGGCTTCCCATGGACTCACAGCCTCCTGCAGCATCCACCTGCTCCATCTCTTCCACCATGGACCTCCATGGGCTGCAGGGGGACAGCCTGCTTCACCATAGTCTTCACCATGGGCTGCAGGGGAATTTCTGCTCTTGCACCTAGAACAACTCCTCCCCCTCCTTCGCTGACCTTGGTGACTGCAGAGCTGTTTCTCTCCCATATTCTCACTCCTCTCTTACCTGTCCACAATTGCTCTTGTGCGGTAACTTTTCCCCCTTCTTAACCCAGAGGTGCTACCATCATCACCAGTGGGCTCAGGCTTGGGCTTGGCCAGCAGCTGGTCTGCCTTGGAGCCAACTGGCACTGGCTCTGTCAACCATGGGAGAGGCTTCTAGAGCTGCTCACAGAATCACAGAATATTCTGAGTTGGAAGGAACCCACAAGGATCATTGAGTCCAACTCCTGGGCCTGCACGGGACCATTCCCAAGAGTCACACCATGTGCCTGAGAGTATTGTCCAAATGCTTCTTGAACTCTGTCAGGCTTGGTGCTGTGACCACTGCCCTAAGGAGCCTGTTCCAGTGCTCAACCACCCTTTGGGTGAAGAACTTCTTTCTGATATCCAACCTAAAGCTCCCCTGACACAACTTCAGGCCATTCCCTCAGGTCCTGTCACTGGTCACACAGAGAAGAGATCAGTGTCTGCCCCTCCTCTTCCCCTCATGAGGAAGTTGTAACTGCAATGAGATCTCCCCTCAGTCTCCTCCAGGCTGAACAGACAGCTGACTTCAGCTGCTCCTCATACGGCTTCCCCTCGAGGCCCTTCAGCATCTTTGTTGCCCTCCTTTGGACACTCTCTAAGAACTTAATATCTTTCTTATATTGCGGTGACCAAAACTACACATGATCTCCCAGAAGCCACCATTGCAGCTTCCCCCTGCCCCAACCTTGCTGCTCAAACCCAGTGCAGTTGGATTTCTTTTCAAAACAGCTAAAACTAGAACAGTTAAAACACTGAACAAACTGGGATCTGAACATGAAGACTGGAACATGCATCCACTTGACACATGACCTCACTGCTACTAAAAACATCTCACTAACCAAACTTACATGAGAAGTCTACTTCATATAGGAGGGTTTAAACCTTT